CAATTAGTGATAATCAACACACACCGCAGCAGTTAAAGTATATATGCTTTTGCTTTATCTTAATTAAAACCCATATTATTGATGCAAAAGTAAGTCATTGACGTTAATGTTCGAATCTATTGCAACAAGTGCGTCGTTTGCGGAACGTCATGCCTCTTTCATTCCCCATTCAGCACTATATCATATTACTAATTAATCTTACATTTCTCACATATACCTTACTTAGTTCACCACTCAAACCGGAACCACTTTGATTGGCCAAGTGGACACCTAGCAAAATCTGTCTCCCTTGTGTTTTAGATACGCAGCATACAGCCTCATTAGGTATTTGAGTAAACTAATTAACCCAACACATGGCAGGCCAGATGTTGGCTCTTTTCAGTTTTCACGCCTGGCAGGCACACAGTGCAAATCTTGAGATCATTGCTACATATATATATATATATATATGTGTTGTGTGTATGTAACAGCCTAGTGATCACTGTTTAGATCCTCACAGAAATATTATTAAGCGGAGAGAGGCTATATTATTCTGTTTGATTACATATAAAACTAATATGATGTGATGAGAGGTGCGTGGAAGCAAAGGGAAAGTGGAAGGCTTTCCCAAGAGGGAAGAGGCATGTGATGGTGAGCGTTTCTAGACTTACCCATTTTGGGAAGAGGATGAATATATATTATATATATATATATTTATATGTCAACCACCTACATTAATGGCTGAGATAGAAAAGAAATTAAAGGTCCATTTGCGACGACCAACAAGCATGATGATGATGATAGATAAGCATCTTGTTGGTGGAAGGATGATATGTTTCTTTTGCTTTTTGGGTAAGGTACGCCTTTTTTTTTTTTGGCAGGTAAGAGATGGGGCTTTAGAGAGAGGCACGTTCTAAAACACTTTCGGCCAAGTGAAATGGTGGCAAGTAGCAGATAGATATGAGGGAGGAGCTAGGAGGCCAAGTCAAAGATTAGCGACAAGCTAAGTGAGGGTAATACGTGGCATTCTAGGGCAAGGCATGCTCCAAACAGGATCAGATATACTGGTCCCAACCATATATGCGGCTTAGCCAGCTAGAAGCTTTAGTAAATGGGCTCCCACACGTTGGCCTGGAAAGATCGGTGAATAATAATGGCATCTGAAAGAAAAGAATATGGTCAAATGCATTCAATACTTCATTATACACATTCATGAATAATGAAGATGATATTCTGGCAGCCCCACATCGTATGGTTGGGGAGTCACCAAAGCTTCTGCGTCGATCGAGTTGACATCAAGTGGGTGGGTGGTGAACGGTGATTGGTATTCCATATTTGCATACAAAGATGCTCACTGCTACTGAACGATAACGATAAAAACCTAATCCTTTTTGCTGAAGCATATACTGTGCAGGAATGCGATCCTCTTTATCCTCTCATCCATCTATATATGTGTGTGCACATTATTCCAGATTTTGCTTGTAGTTGCCACTATCAATCAATTAAGTTTTCTCTCTTTGATTCTTATTCAGCTGTCATCTTCATCTTTCAATCGCCTAATGATTTGGGATTGTACTCACACACTTTCATATATTGATGAAACAGTGTTTGTGTGTATATATGCAAAAATAGCATTTGATCTCCCCGTGTAAAATAAATCTTAAATATAGAAACGAGATAGAGATTGTGGAAGGGCCTTTTCCAAGGCATTTGGCCAATCAACAAAAGCACTAATAATATCACAAACACTAGTTTAATTTAAAGAGAGAACCTACTCTAGAAACACTAACATATTCCTTTCGTGTTATGTCTCAGAGCTAGTTAGTGAAAGACTTTAATTTATTTTATTTCTTATACTTATAATTTTTTTCTCAGATTAATTTATTTAATTTATAAACTAATATATAATCTAATATTGTGTATGGAAATATGTTGGGGAGATCATCATATCAAATATATTTGATTAAATAATTCATGTAGATATCTTCTTTCATGTACCCAAATTAAGTGCATAGCTCTCACGTTAATTAAATATCGGAGGAGTACTAAATGGGAGAGTTGCTTAATTGTATAAAATTCTACTTCGTTCATGATGAGGTTGAGGCTTATTAGGACAATTTCACATTGACCTAAAAAAATCTATATATATATATATATTTCATTTGATTTATCACGATTGTTCTTTCCATATAAAATATTAGCTTTTTAAATGTTTAATTGATGTGATTAAATGTTAATTAAGGAGGGACGAGGAAGGTTATTTAAAAGGAAGCGGCCGACTAAGCATGTGATGAGTCGCGTGCCTTGCATTACAATTTCCTTTTCTTTTCTTTTTGGTGGTGGTGTGGCCGGCGCTGTGTATTTAACAGTATATTAATATTATTTACTTATATATATTTAGATTTTCCCACCTAATTTAATTCCTTCTCTCCACACTTTAACTATTTTATTCTTCGTAAAAAGAACTCTAACTTTATTCCCTTTTTAAAAATGCTTCCCTGTTATTTTAATATCCATCAGGAATATTGAAAATCTACTATGTGTTTACCCGATGTTGGATCTCGGCGCGCCTAGTTGGAGAGCAGCTTTTCTGATGATTTCAAATGACACAGTTCAATTGGTTAAAGACAGTTTCATTTATAAAATTGATTTAATTATATTTTGCAGAGCAATTGATGTCTCCTCATCTTGAACAATCGCAGCAGGATTTGCAATTGGGACTATCATATAATTAATTACACACTTCATCCCTCATAATAAAGTTGTTGGCTCTCCTGTCCTTGCTCTAATACACATGTTGAGGCGATATACATATACCGGAGTGATCAATTTTAACTATTTAGCTCTTTAAAAGACTAAAACTAAAATAAAGATAAACTTGAGAGATCAAGAATTGTACTAACTTTTAAAACTACTTGGACGGATGGAAAAATAATTTTGGATTTAGATAATGCTTGCCTGAGATGCTACGATGGATATTTCCATTCATGCATTTGTGTGTTTGGAGAGAATGTGGATTGAAAATGTTATCCCTGAAAAAGAAAAGGAAAAAGAACGAAAGAAAAAGAGCTTGAGTAATAGATGCTCAGTCAAAGCTGGGGAGGAAGGTGACGATTGATATTGGATTTGATGATTGGCCAGCAGATCAAAAACTAAAGTCCGAACACAAATGATATTCCAGCTTTCTACGTGTTAGGGCTCCAACACCCAATTATGAAGAGTCACATCCCCGCTAATGCTATATTGGGTGGTTCACGTTCGATATTCATATTCACTCTGTGTTTGGAATCCAGGCCACCTGTCCATCCGGCATTATTAGTGTAATTATTATTATTTTTCAGTGTTAAGGTCAAAATACCCTTCGATAAAGATATTCAGAATCCGACTTGTGCCCTTGCCCCAGTGGAGTTGGGAGGGCATTATAGCCATTATACATAGATTCCTCCCCTTTCGTCTTCCCTCAACTCAAAGGATGCCCCGATATTAAAAACCAATCAAAGAAGGCAAATAACTGTTTGGTCCGTGTGTTTTCGGTTCGGACGGCTTCTATGATATCCATAGCTATGCCAGTCCATTCGGCCCAATGGGCTTACGTGCATATTGAGTTGGCTGCCCTCATTGCCTCCTCTAATGGACTGTCCCAGCTATGGGCTGCCAGTGAGGCCCATATTGCCAGTGCCATTTCCCATCTTTACTGGATTATTCAATGACCCAAGACCCATAACCTTGAGTTGTCTCATAATCAGGGCACTACGTAAGCATTTTTATTCAAAAAAATCCATCATGTAAAATTAGGCTTATATATTATTTATTAACATGATATCAAGGAAAAATTAAATAAATAATTTTATTCAATGTTATCAGCACTGTATTTTTTTTTTTTTGGGAACAGGGGAGCAACAAATGATATGAAAAGAACCAGTACTTCGTAGCTGTTTACACGTCTAATGCCTCATGGACCTATTAGTATTAAAGAAGACAGCGACTGAGAACAATTCATTGAACTTCTGTAAGTGTCATTTGACGTTATTCCACCAACATCAAAAGGCGCCCCTTCCCACTCACTCAAATTGCTCCTGATATGGATTGCACCCACATCCACCATATATTTCAGTCATTTATAAATTGTTGCTCTCACGGCAACCCTTCCCCCCCCCCCCCCAGTTTTTAACCAGAATTTTATTGTGCCAAGTGCTCGTGAAATTTCAGATTTCTGGTTTAAAATGACTTTGAGTTAAGTTGTGCATTATTATTATTATTATTTTTTGTTCTTGATGAATGTTATAATTTCAATACGTACATGACTTAAAATGCATGCTTGCCGGCCAGGCAAGATTAAGCTTGTCCCCTTCATTGTCTGAAGCGTGTTGTGGATCAAGCCCTCTCCGACATATCATTGACAAGAATAACACTCTTCTTGTAAACCTCCGACACAAATGCCTGCATTAATATGGGAAAGAAAAAAGTTTCACTCTTTAGACATGGGAAAATCTCTGTTCTTTTTTTTTTTTTGTCCTGAAAATTAAAAGGAAAAAAAAGAGAGAAAAACTTCACCATCAACCAAGCATAATAGAAGGCTATTTTCTATCTGCAAAGGGCTCCTAGCAAAGCCTGTACCATTCCATTAACAGCCAGGAAGGAAGGTATTGCATCGATTACCCCAAATATATATATTTTTTGCATCTGTTCATTAATACAACTGCCTGATGATAACATGTTTTGTATTAAATTATTAATTAATTAGTTAACAATACAATATATAATAAATATGATGTATTTCAGATTAAATTAGATTTCAATCTTTAGTTCATCATGAATGCGAAACAGGCGCAACGTAACAGTACTTGAAAGTGACATGCCATTGTTGAGAGGGAGGTCTGCCGGTTGCGGGCTGAACACGAACGACGTCGTAGCTTGGTCGGCCTGCGATAGCAAGGAAACATCAGGGGCAAAACCGAGAAACGACATTAAAAACAACAAAATTTCCGAACGATTGGCCAATCCCAGTCTCTTCAATTTACCCTTGCGGGCCTTGCCAGTGTATCTTCTCTGCTACGTCGCCTTCCTCAACTCCTCCAACATCGAAGATCCGAGGAGTTTGGGAAACCCTAAACCCACAACCTACTCATTTTCTCAGTTCTTACTCTCATCTGTCAAAGGTTTGAACTTGCTGCTTTTTTCTTTTTTGTCATCCTTTACGCAAGTCGTCGCGTCTCATTCATGGGATTTTTTTTCTTTTGCTTTTGCCACTTTGTTGATTTTATCAAGCGTCGGTCTTTAAATATCCTTAGTTTCTAATTATTGGTTCAGATTGGTTACTTGTTTCATAGATCGATACTTTTTGTGGAGTTGTCTAATTTCTGAGCTTAGTAAGAAATTTTATCAAAAGAACCCATATTAAACCTTCAACAACTTGGGGAAGTGAAGCGCCACTAATAAAGCTATTTGGGGTGTTCCAGTCTGGTGCTGTATATTTAGGGACAAGGGAAACACGAATGGCTCCGGGATCTTTCTTTTTTTGTTAGCTTAACAAGCCTGTTCATTTTTTGCCGCAGTATTTGCTTAACTACTTTTTTAAAAAAATTAACCGGCATCGGGTTTTTGTCTTGAAATAAGACTTTTTTTTTTTTTTTATATGTTTGAATGTTTCATTCATTTGTTATCGGTTCTTTTTAGCTGTGTTGATGATATTCTATTTCAATCTATGCTATTGCAAACGTTGGTGGACTAGTTAATATTATTTCCATGATATATTTGGTGTATAAAGATTTATTTTGTCGTGCCTTGGAAAATGGCTCATTGAGTGTTACGGATGCATGTTTCCCGCCGTTAAATGGAGCAGGTAATGCATATTATGCTGTGAAAAATTGCTGGTTGGTGTCTCTATCTCTCATTTGTATCCGTTAGGTGCTATTGCTGAACTCTGAAACGGTTTTATCCTAAAAAACGAGGGGGGGGGGGGGGAACTGAATCCTGATGCAGATTCACAATGAGACCGCATAAACTGTGTGAATTCAGATTTCTCGTGATTTATCATAAAATATTTCATGTTTGATTTGCAAGATATAGAATGAATTGATGTTTGACTTCATTCATAGTTTGCAGTCATGGCTGGAGTGGCACCAGAGGGATCACAATTTGATGGTCGTCAGTTTGATGCTAAGATGAATGAGTTGTATGTTTTCCTTTTCTTAGTTAATGCTGGATGCTCTGTAGGGGTACACCAGTGCACACATGCTTATATTTTTTTGATGCATAATCCATGGATGCCTATAGTTATATGCTCATTCTTGGTTTGATGTATTGATTGGAGCAGGCTTGGATCTGATGGTCAGGAATTCTTTACTAGTTATGATGAAGTTTATGAAAGCTTTGATGCTATGGGATTGCAGGAGAACCTTCTTAGGGGTATTTACGCATATGGTATGTACATTAATGCATGAAAACTCAATATTACTCTTTTTAATCAAGTTATCTTGTGTGGTCATTTAATAAACAAATTTGAAAGGCCTTTGATAGGCTCCTCTACCGTTATTTCTAGTTGCATAGATATTAATATACAGTCAATTGACATGCCTCTTAATTTTCCAGCATGACTAATTTGGACATTGACATTATGCTAATTCTGATAAGGTTTTGAGAAGCCGTCGGCAATCCAGCAAAGGGGAATTGTACCTTTCTGCAAGGGTCTTGATGTAATTCAGCAAGCCCAGTCTGGGACTGGGAAAACTGCGACTTTCTGCTCTGGAATATTGCAGCAGCTTGATTATAGCGTAGTTGAATGTCAGGCTCTGGTACTTGCTCCCACTCGTGAGCTTGCTCAACAAATTGAGAAGGTCATGCGAGCACTAGGTGATTATCTTGGAGTTAAGGTCCATGCTTGTGTGGGTGGGACCAGTGTTCGTGAAGATCAACGCATCCTCTCAAGTGGAGTCCATGTTGTTGTTGGTACTCCTGGTCGTGTATTTGACATGCTGCGGAGACAATCTTTACGCCCTGATTATATTAAGATGTTTGTGTTGGATGAGGCAGATGAGATGCTTTCTCGTGGTTTCAAGGATCAGGTATCCTTGTTTACCACTTTCTACTTCTCTTTAATTAATCTGCTTCTTTCTTCTGCTTTGCTGGTGTTTAAGATCTTTTCTACGGAATGATTTCTCTTTCAAACACTATAATTTGGTTGGTCGTGTGTTGCCATTCAATGGTAACTTAATGACCTAACTTCCTCTATGTCCTCAGGCTGTATAATGCTCCTAGATACTGACTTTTTCCTGCTGGTCTTGATGTCATATGATATAATATTCTAGCCTCTAAATATGTAGATGTATGATTGGCTTTAATTTTAAGGCTGGAAAAAATGAGAAGATAAAGAGAGGGTGCATAGAGAAGGAGGAGGAACCAAGATAAAAGGAGAAGGTGCATACCGGTGATACTATTGGGGACAATATCTTCGGACAAGTTTATTTGCTTATAATGATATGGTTTTATAGGATGGAGCGCCAATAGTTGGGAGTATCACTGATCATTCTGAAAAAAGTTATTCAGGGTGTCTCCAAACTTGTGAACTGCACTGTCAATCATATGCATATCAAACGAGACATGTGACATTCTTTTCCTGCGGATTGCATGAAAGCAATGAATTACACTGTGCATGGATGTGAATAGTGCATTTTGCTCTAGATTTTATCGTATGTATTGATATATTGATAGATAATTTAAAGTACACGTAATTTCAACTTTTCCTTTTGGTTTTTATTTATCCTACTGATGTTCCTTCCTTTCTTAATCCCCTTCCAGATCTATGATATTTTTCAGCTGCTGCCACCAAAAATTCAGGTTGGTGTTTTCTCTGCCACTATGCCACCCGAGGCCTTGGAGATCACAAGGAAGTTCATGAACAAACCTGTGAGGATTCTGGTAAAACGTGATGAGCTTACACTAGAGGGGATCAAGCAATTTTATGTCAATGTTGATAGGGAGGAATGGAAGCTTGAGACTCTTTGTGATCTTTATGAGACCTTGGCAATCACCCAAAGTGTTATCTTTGTGAACACTAGACGCAAAGTAGACTGGTTGACGGACAAGATGCGAGGCCGAGATCACACGGTTTCAGCCACCCATGGAGATATGGACCAGAACACGAGGGATATCATTATGCGTGAATTCCGTTCTGGTTCTTCCCGTGTGCTAATAACCACCGACCTTCTGGCCCGTGGTATTGATGTCCAGCAAGTATCACTTGTGATTAATTATGATCTGCCAACTCAACCAGAGAACTATCTCCATCGAATTGGTCGTAGTGGTCGGTTTGGAAGGAAAGGTGTTGCTATCAATTTTGTGACAAGGGATGATGAAAGGATGCTGTTTGACATCCAGAGGTTTTATAACGTGGTCATAGAGGAGCTCCCAGCCAATGTTGCTGATCTTCTTTGATGTGGTTTCAGCATCATCACTAAATGTCTTTATTATTGAGGGGGCAAATTTAATTTAATTTCATGGTCGCTGGCCCCTTTTTTAGTATGAATTGAAGGATACCGTGAATCTGGAAGATCAGTGTATTGTGCATCTTGAGGTTGGCCTTTTTGTGTAATGTTGAGTCTAGCAGGAAGTGTTGCAAATTTTGCTGAGTCTGCTTGTATTTCTAGTGTCTTGAGAAAGATTGCATAATGTTGTTAGATTTTTATCTAAAATCCTCCTCCTTTTTCAGATTTTGTTATAATGTCTAAAGCTTGAAACTTGGCGTTGTGGTCTCACCCTTACCTGCTTGTTGATTTGCCTGGCAAACGGATTCATGCAAGCTGGTTGGTTGTTTGAGACCTCAAATTAGGTGAAAATTGAAAAATCTATATGAATGAAAAATAATTTCTGAATACAGTATATTTGCCTTTAAATTATAATAATGATGATAACAATAGAAAAATACTTTGTATGTAAACTCCCTTAAGGTTTTTTAATCTAAATTTTCGTGTGGGTCACTTGGCAAGTGTTTTGACAGATTTTAAGCAATACCTCTGGTTCTTAATATAAAGAATTTGTTTGATTTTTATTTTAGTTTTAAATATAAGATTTTAATTTATTTTGTTTTTTATATTTATATTTTTTTTTCAAGGTAGTTTTTCTAATAATAGTTGTTCTAGTCAATACACTAGATTAGCAAGGATATTTTAAGAAAGATAACACGTATTTATTATAAATAGCTAACTTAATTTCTTTTCTTAATCTCTTTAAGTTAGTCAATCAGTTTTTATAATTAGGATCAGAGTTAGCATTTTTATGTAATGCCCATATTGTTCCCTGCAGTTTTTTTTTAATCTAAATTTTCGTGTGGGTCTTTGGCAAGTGTTTCAGCAGACTTTAAGTATTTTTATGTAATACCCATGTTCTTCCCTTCAGTCCAACATCCTCCAGTCCACCTCTAACCATAACATGAAGCTAATTCTTATAAGATTTAAAACGCATCGGTCTTTTGAGGTATGTTCTCAAATGTACTCGAAGTATATTTTTTTTAAATATGTCCAGTGTCTTAAAGTATTTTGTGACGTATCCATTGTTCAAATATATCTTTGGTGCATCCAGTATTAAGGCAAAAAAAAAAAATTAAGATACTGAACGTACTTAAAAAAATATTTCAGAACAATAGATATGTCATAAAATACTTAGAAGTGTTAGATAAACAAAAAAAATACTTTATAGTGTTGGATACATTACAAAATATTTTAAAATGTTAAATGTATTTGAAAAAACACTTCATGAGTGTTAGATGTAATTCAACCCCAATTGTTAAACTTACAGTTGTGGAGAACAAATTATGTTCCTGAAAAACCTTAGGTTGTTCAGCCGCAAAATCCTTGCAAATTTTAAAGAATTGTCTCAGACTTTGTGATTTCCCGCTACCTGTGATAGAGAGGTGGAATTAGAATGAGAAAATGTCCACAGCCCTTATGGTCTCAGTTGGACCCCACATTACCATTGTCGCTCAAATCCTGTTCACCCGTTTGGTTGAGAGAGAGCAAGCTTCAACATTGAAGAGAAACAAAGCCTTGAAACTTCATCTAATTCGGCAATTCCCATGGAGGAACACAACAGATCAACGTGTTCTGCAAATGGGCAAGTGATGATGCAGGTGGAGAGCTGCAACAAAGCTTCTAGGCCTTACGACCTCAGGTGCCACAGTGCCTCCTTTGCACAAACACAAAAAGGTCCCAAGGACTTAAAGATAGGGAAGAGCATTTCCAAGTCTTGGAGCTTCACTGATGCAGAGTTTCAGAGGAAGAAAAGGGTTGCTAGCTATAGAATGTACTGTGTGGAGGGTAAGGCCAAAGGGTCCTTAAGGAGGGGCTTCAAGTGGCTCAAGGATAAGTACTCCCAGGCGGTCTATGGCTGGCGGTGATTCGCTGGCTTCCCTACAATTACTCTGTATCCCACATGTAACTAAACTCCTCCTCACGATTTTCTTTCTTTCTTTCTTAAATTTCTGTGATCATCAGAAGAACTGGAAATTAAATGGATTCCTATCGGTTTACTTGGCTCGACCTGTCGCGACACTGGGTCCTGTAAGGCCTTCCATCGTGTTCAAACTATATGCGTACAACATTTCACGGTTCTATATGGTAGGTTTTCCTTTCCAGGCGGTGCTTCCATTTACTGATATAGAGATTAGGTTTGCAACAAATTGCTTTATAAGATGGAGATGACGAGGTTTGGCCTTCATGGTCTTTCATTTATGTTCTTATTTTATCTGTGTTGACATAATTTTCAGTTACTGAGTATTTTAGGTCATTTAAATTATTGATAATAATCTATCTGTTACAAGTAATTGCAATTGTGTCTTGTGATAATCAATCACCATAGTGATATCAAAGCTCTTGCACGGATATTTCATCTCAATTGGTTTCTGAATTCTTTTTGCAGAGGATCTTTAGACTGCAGATTTCTTAACCGGAGGGGTTTCAATTCAAGTTATTTCAGATTTGATAGACATATACTCCATTCCTGTTGAAGCAATCAATTGGGTTTTTGACTCTTTCCCTTATTCCATTTGCTCTCACTCTTTGTTTCTTTCATTATTACGTTATATTTTATTGCTGGAAAGAATATCTAGAACTCCGGAGCAGGGTGCACGCTAAACCGCCAAGCCAAGAAAGCCAAAAAACCAGAAGGAAGAAGACCTTAATGGAGTTAAATCCTCTGATAGAATGACTGCGCAGTTTAAAAAGCCTCTTCTGAATCCTAAAACAAAACCCAAACTTTAGCATAATAAAGATTAAAGAAGACAGGGAATTGGCTACAAACTTTCAACATAAAAGGCAGAGACAACACGTACAAAAACATCCTGCTTCCAATATTTGACTCCACTTTCTTTAATATACTGTGATGTTTTTGGCTAATAAATGCTACGTTTGGGTGCTTTCTTCCCACTCCCCCCTTACTCACACTGTTGCACGTCTCTTTATGAACTAATTATATCACTTCAATCCCTCGGCAACTCTAGCAGTTAGGGTCGTAGCCTGTTGACCAGCAGCATAAAATGGCAGGTGACGTGGACCATAAGCTAGAAAACGAACTGATGCGCTTTTAATTTTTTCAATAGCAAGGAAACGATATAGGGAGCTTCATGTCTCACAAGGTGTCTTGTGTTGCTCTATTCTAATATGTACTCAATTATAAAATATTATTGATCAAAAAATATATATTTATATCTAATCTGTGAAATAACTTGCTATATACGGCACTAGTTACTGATTAAACTATTATTTTGATACAGGTTCTCTTGCCTGCAATCGTAATAGATGGTAATGTCGGTATTATAGAGATTTAAAGACACAAAAATTGAAGCGAAGGCAGCTTCGATAGCAATGGCATCTTAGAAATGCTAAAAGCCAAGAAAGATAAAGGTAATGGAGATAAGAGGGAAGAGACTGAATACCTCTGCAGAACCTTCATGACTGGTCCGGAAAAGATAAGAGAGAGGACGGAAGAGACCCCCTTAGGAGCAAGTAATAGCCATTTACTCTGCCTGATTTGACCAAACGACAAAGACAAGGACAATTATGCTACCATTGGTGGAAGATTCCATGATGCAAGCAAGACAAATACCTTATTGATAAACCCCAGGAGCATTATGAAACCTGAGACTCGTGTCTTTCCCCCGCAAGTTGTAAGGGGCCACATTTTCAAAGGGAAGAGGCATGAAGGCAGTCTATTCCTGCAGTGAAAAAAGACCGTAAGAGACAAGAGGGGACTAATCAAAGGGAAAAGAAGACACTGATATGGGTCCTATCCTAGGGACACTAGCTTCTAAAGAAATTTCCTGTTAGATGCACTTAGCACCTCTTAATATGGCCAATCTTGAACCGGAAAACATCGCAAGTCTCATGTTTCCAATTGCCAAATTGGTTTAACATGGTAAAAAGTTATCTATAAATTAGTGGATCGGCAAACTTACCAACACTAATGGATAGTCTCTCTGGGCTAGCGCTCCCTACAAACCACACGTTTTACCGAGTACTAGTTGCACCATCTTTTCACTGTTTTCTGAGGATGTCTAATCCACGCCACCGCCCACACACTAATATCAGCCTTAATTTGCGTTATGTGATATTCCAGATCAAGAATGACCTCTAAACTTGCACGAATATATTCATTTATTGAAGTTTCTGAACGTATCTTTCTCTCAAATCTTGATATCAAGAAGAAGAAACAGCTTAACTGGAAGAGAAGAAACGGAGAGAAAGGAAGCCTTTCTTCAGCTAACTGCAACAGTATTTGAAAATCATGTTCAACATCTCATGTCCGAACACATGTTTTAACAGCAGGGGACTATGCCATGGAAGAAGACAAAGAATTCCCGGAATTGGCTTCTCATATAATGAAAGCATCTTTTCAAGCTTTTGAAATTCGGATTAACCTTTTTCTTTTCTCTTTTTTTTTTTTTCTTTTTGTGGGGAGAGGGACACAGTTGTCACTTGCACAACAATTATTATGTTTCATTTATGCTAATAGTGCGAAGAGTCAATGTATTGGGTGTGAAAATTGTTCTTTTATGCATTTGGGCTTGCTTCCATAATTGAAACCAGGGGAAATTATCTCTTCCCCTTCATCTTTTTTTGTGTGGGTATATTTATATATATATATATATATATATAGACATATCTAAATAGCAATCCCATCTTTCTTTGTTTAATAAATGAGGGGTGAATAATAAAACCTTAGTGAGTCTCCTGAAAGTCTTCGTGTTCCCCAAAAGTCTAGGTCGTCCTTGATTAAACTATGTTTTCCAAGTAAGCCACTACATAGTGGAGCCATGGCCACACCCCACTACGAACAAGTAAGATTCTGCTCAGGAAGTGCTTGTCATCTCTTTACATTTTGGTAGTAAATAAGTGGAAACAACCGGAGATATGACTCCCAAACAGTGGTTCGACTGTCCATTTATTTAAAAACAAAAAATGATGCAAAGCAACCAAGCACATAAGCTAGCACTCCACTCACAGTGAGCAGCCATGGTTTCCAGTTGTGGACAAACATAGAAGACCCCACTCTACACAGGCTCTAGCACACAGCTCTAATGAAGAAGAATCACATCCAGAATCAGTTCAGGAGAAGGGCATGCGAGCGATGAAAGTCTCATTCTGCATTTTCTTGTCCTTGGCATTATTTTGTTGCTTTGCTCCATCTGCCTTCTGCCAGCTCTCATAAGTAGCGACATGGTCATGCGAAGGAGTGTAATGCTGCAGCAGAAGAATTCAACATTTAGTGTTTTTGAGTAAAAGGGTTTATGGAACTTACAATATCTGATAAAGCCTACAAATATGATGCTACATCACAAATGGCCAAGAGATAATTTAATTAATCCTTTGTGCATATAAGTCATGGTTACACCTCCATCTTCATCACAAGTTCTTTGGCCGTTGAAGCTGAAACAACTATATTCCGAGCACAAGGCCTGATAAAGCCTTCTTTAACTCCATTGTCGAATAATGCAAGCAAACAATTATAGTAACCATCAACATTCAGTAGACCAACCTGCGTAGAATCATATTTAGTTAACAATTATGTTTTACCAAGGATGCCAATTTTAACGGTTAGAACATCAAGTTACCGGTTTTTTATGAATTCCAAGTTGGGCCCAAGTTATTATCTCCAACAGCTCTTCCATGGTTCCATATCCTCCTTATTATAAGGAAAGGCGTAGGTCAGTATTATATGTTAAGCTCATCGATCCAAAAAAAAAAAAAATCCCAATAAGATGGGAAGAACAAATTTCAGTACATCAAAAGAAAATTTTCTATTGGCATTCAAGAAGAATATATTGACGAGGACTGTTCAGGAAACTACCTGGGAGAGCAATAAAAGCTTCAGCCTCACGAGCCATTGCAGCTTTACGCTCGTGCATATCTGAAACTATTCTCACTTCACCGACTGATTCTCCAGATATCTGGTTAAATTTTCCATATTCTCACCATAATTAGCTGATATCTGTACTATGATGAAAGTAAATTATGAATTTCTTCCATGACAAAGAGATGCTCCCATAATTTGTTCAGATTACTTTGGCGAATCGTGTCCTCATAATATGAATCCATAAAGTAGGTAACAGAACAAGAACCAGTTCATTTGTAGATGATTCAATTAACTAGGTCAGGAAAGAGGAATTAATAAAACCAAATACCTCAACAGGTATGAGAGCTTTTGGAATGATCCTGCATATAAAGAGAGAAAGAATGAGAGGAATGAGCAAATATAGATGACTCATTGTGATCCATGCCACACCGCGTACGCAAGAAAATGAACACGGTAACTCGTAATAAGCACAACGAACAAAGGATGTCGTTTTAGGCATACCCAAGGACACGGCAGCCTCCATCATACACTCTCTGAGAAATTATGCCCATCAGTCCAACATTAGCCCCACCGTAAATCAAATCTATCTTTCTCTTGACCTGTAATTCAAACCACAAAGTAAAACCACAAAACCCAGAATAATGAACTCTGCTGTGTTGTGCTGTGCATTAACACCAGACCCGAAGAACGCCCCAGGTTCTGTCCAGTGTATCAGAATTCTTGTCTAGAGCAATAGAAGCATTTATGTGAACCTGTTCAGCATTATTTGACCACAAGGTAGTTTAATGGTTTCTACTAAACGAACCAAATTTAACTATCATCACCATGTACGCATTAAACACCGTTATAAAACGGCGAACAACCTCTGTACAGAACATGAAGTAACATATACAGTACGTGAGCTGCGACCAAAAGAAAAGAAGCGAGTGTGATGAAAAATAACCGACCAGTTCATGACCCAGATCAACCGCGGCATCGGTGAAGATTTGTCTGTTGCCGGAGTTGCTGCCGCAGAAGACACAGACCTTCTTGAACTTGCTTCTATGGAAGCCGTCCTCCATTCAGAGTTAGTGCTCTCTTTGTCGCTTATCTTCAACAGCAACAAATCAAGACAAAAAGGCAACCTTTGAACAGATGATATCACTTTCTTTATACTTTATTCGAATGCCTTTTTAAGCAGGCAACCAAAAGCTAGAAAAATTTTCCCACGGTTGTTTTATTGATTCATTCTAAATGGACTATGGAAGCGCAGAGCAGGGAGCAATAATCGAATAGATAAATACCACAGCAAAAAGCCCACGTGCTCTATTCTTTTGCAATTCAACGTGTCGTCTTCCCATTCATGTAAGAATACCCATATAACTTACGTGTTTTTTTTTTTTGTGAATGTGTCATATGATATGACTATATAGTCCTTCATGATCGGATACATTGGTATGAACATTAAAAAAAAAGGTTTTTTCCCGAGAAAAAAATTAATAACATCATTCATGCCTACAGAGGAGAAGGATTTTGACGAGGCAATTGAATCAAAAATGGAATAATTTTACGTTGTCAGAAAACTTTATTCTCCCTTGGCCATATTTTATGAGTTCAACGTACGACCCTCCAGCCACCGCAAGTCTCAAGATGTTCCCTGCAAGCTACTTTCAGTATCACAGAATTTAAGGGAGAGTCCATGCAATTCCAAAGATGACGTTCGGAAAAGTAACAATTAACAAAGGAAAAAAAAGATGAATGAATATATATATATATATATAATATTGTAGTTATATTTCTGCCCATAAATATAGATGAATGCATGAAAGAGATCCAAAATGGTAGCTGCCAGTGATCCAACAGTAATCTGTTATGTGCTAAAGCAGAGAGTATGTGTGGGAGAGACTTGTGATATGTGTAGGGTTTCTAACGTCATAAGGCTAGCTTGATGCGCCAACAATGGAAAACCTACACCACTCTCTCCTTTTCTATTTTGAAGCAATCGGTTTGGGACAGACTCCAACCACGCCTAACCAACGCAAAGCACTCGTCTCTTGAATGCCCCACCAGGAAACAAAGCAAAGAGACGCTAGGAATCGCCCGCATACCATCCATCCACTTAAATGCTCTCATGGGAAGAAGAATCCCTGCTTCTGATAATAATCAAAATCTCTTGTTGATACATCCGCTTCTGTATTTCTCCTTCCTCGCCGCGACCTTGGCTGCGAGCATTGTAATTATCACCGCACTGTGCGGTGTTCGATCTCGGAAGAAAGATTCGTCTCCTCCTCCGTCCGATCATCTGCACACAGCCAGCGACTTGGATGCCGAATTGCCTCAGACTAATGATGAAGTGGAAAACCAGAACGATGATTTACATCTTCCGCCCGCAATGCAGCATTCGAGGGAGTCCAGATCTACTAGGAATATGAAGAAAGCTAGTTCGGAACGCAGATTATCGTTTAGCTTGAGCTTGAAGAAGGTGCCTAGAAGTTTGTCTGTGGCCAAACACAGTGATCCGAAAGAGGACGGACGAAAGAAAGAGAAGTTGAAAGCAGAGGAATCCGTATGGATGAAAACAATAATCCTGGGGGACAAATGTGTTCCCGATGAGGAGGAGAGTGCCGTGATTTATGAGGGGAAAGGCAAGAAAATCTCAGCCTACCACCCTAGAAACAATAGCACCTTATCCATTTCTAAACAAATGTCTTCAATCGATCAGGATATCCATCCTGATCCTAACATTCAAAAGCAACAAACCGATCAAAACGATATGTAATTTAACAACCGTTTCTTATTTCTCTTGTTTCATAAATATTTTCTCCTGTTATATTGAGATAGATGTACAGTTTAGGTTTTAACAATCGATCTTTTCTGTTGGTCATCATTCAATCCTCTACGCAACTTTCAAAAGCATAAGCAAGAAGATGATCCATCGTTGGACGCAAAATGAAAACCAAGCTGCCAACTTTGTGGGAACGTAATCAAGGAAGGTGGAAAAACACAGTTACGTACGCTACATGAGATTCTAGAATAAGTAGAACGGCAAATGGGAACAGGACACATCATTATCAGCAGCCTCCCAATGAACCTTTCTTTGCATTGACAAATACTTAAACAGTTAGCATTTACTTTCAGAACACCGTTCCCAATTGGGTATCAAATT